TTTAAAGGTATAACTGCCAAATGGCAAAGGTCTGGGAGTTCTAGTGTTAAACTCTTCCCACACTCTTGCAATATTCTGAACAATGTTTCTAAACTCTAAACACTCTAAAAGAGCACATAATGTCATGATTTCAGCTCTATGCCTTGGCTGCACTCCTGCCAGCCTCTTGGCCACGCCCACTTCTCTGCAGTGGAGATATGACGCGCTGCATGAAGAAGCTCCTCCTGCAGCTTGGGCTGCACACTGGTGTTAAATAATGTAAAATAATTTATTTAAAATAAAAATCCCATGTGGATCATGCGGCTCATCCATCAATCATCCAATTGTGTGTCACGTCCACTCTTATTTTGAAAAAACCGTGATAGAGCGAGTCCGTGAAAAACAAACCATGAAGTAGCGAGGGACTACTGCTCTATAAAACCTACCCTGAAACTTCTTGTTTCTTTTTGACAATGTTAGCCATTTAGTTATTGTTTTCCATTCGCATCTATGTATTTTATCCTGTGTCCTTTGCTTGTTTGTTTCTGCTGTACAGCACTTTGGTTGGCCTTGTTGCTGTTTGAAGTGCTTTATAAACAAAATGGTATCATCTTCAATCAGCAGTCTCAAGTCTGTCTCCAAGACAGTTTTCGACACGGTGTATATGTTTCAAAGGTTAAAAATCTTTAAAAGATATGGACAAAAACACTTCTCTTATTGTGTTTACAGAAAACGATGAGCTTTGGGCACAAGGTCGAGCTGCTTCTTTTAAGATTGCCAATAACCGTTGATTTTATGAAAGTTGTGTGTTGCAAAGTTGACACCAATGTATAGGTGCACAAGATATTAATTCTTCATACATTTTCCACAGAATCCCACTTGAAAATGGCTGTAATAACTTTTCATACTTTGAATAGAACTATAAAAGCAAATCTGACACAAAGAATAAAAGTAAATTAATGTGTAAGGCATGTTTTCAGGCTTTAATAAACCATGAGTATGCACTGAATAAAATCCCTGAAGATAAATATTTGAGGGCTATTTGTGTAAGTTATTCCTGTGTCTTTCAGGTACCATGCAGTCTGGAGTACTGGGATGAGCTCCAGCAGACCTTTGTTCAGTACCGGGAGTTCAACCTGTCAGAAAGCTGCTCCTGCCAGCTGCAGCTGCCCAGCCTCAGCCTCACCGATCACCATAAGGAGCTCATAGCCTCAGACCTGTGGAGGATCGTGCTCAATAATAACGGAGAGGGAGGTGATGAACAGAGGTGAGGGAATAGGTTGTTTCCCTGTGAAATGTTTCTGTTGGATTGTCTGTAGCTCTTCCTGGTGTATGTTTGAAGGGGCCTGCATGTACCCACACACAGGTATGTGGATCTATAGACTTTGTGCTGTCCAGTGTGAGGAGAAACAGGCACGTAGCGCCCAGGCTGCTGAGCGCACAGAGCTGCAGTGTGTCCCTCGCCCCACATCTGGTGCGCAGGAGTAGGGAGCAGACTTGGAAAGCGTTCAGATAGGCCTAATGAGATTTCCCAGCACACCAAGTGCCTGTCAGGGCCCATCCGGATTCCTTCCTGCTTACCTTGACTGTATCTAATCGAGGGGAAGCTCAGGGGAAGCACAAGTAGTCGAGCCCCCTTCGGGTTGGCTCGCGAACTTTCTGGGCTGGGCAGGGTTGGACCGAGCAGCGTAGCACCTCACAGATCATGTTTTTACTTCATTCTTCTTGCTGCCACTGCTTCCTCTCTCCATCTCCCATGTGTCCCAGCCTTCTGGTACTTTTCTGGAGCCTGGACCATTTTTCCTTTTCCTTTTGTCGTTTTGTCTTTCTTTACTCATTTTTTGTTCTTTTTCTCCCATTTTTACTTCCTTTGGGGAATTTAAAGAACATTTTTTTGTATAAAAGAAATGCCAGTCCCACATTCTGTGCGAGTCAGACAAGTCCTAAGAAAGGGTTGGGGGAGAAATAAAATGTGTAAGAAAAGTTCTTCAAGACCAGGTTCTATGTCAAGTAAAATATACATCTGCAGTTCATTACAATCATACTCCAAACACGACGTTTCCTTCATGTTTAAATTATTTGTCTTTGTTGAGCAAAATTGATTCCCCTTTCCTTATTTTCTTATTTCATCTGCCTTACTTTAGTTTCCACCAGAAAAATAACTAGGCTGCCCTGCCAACTGGAAGTAATGAAAATTGTCGACATATGATGGTTATCTTTTTAAGGAGCACTCTGCTGCATCAACATTTTTCACAATTTGAGAGTTTTCTTCTAATGGTGGATCATGGTAGCAGCAAATTAGAGGACAAATGGTCATTCATTTCAATTATTTCCCATTCCACATCATCAACCCTGACGTGCAATTAATGTTCACGGAGGGGTTCTCCTTGAAACTCCTGGCATAATAATTTAACTGACTGCCCCAGACAGGAAGGAGGCCCTCTCCACAACGTTGTCTCTTTCAGACCAGATTTTTTTCTGAATCACAATTTTGAAAAGGCAGAATGTAACTTCTGTGGTGATTACACCATAAATATGTCTGCTTTTCATTTTTCAAAGTAAAATAAAAAAAAAATCTATAATAATGGCACAAAACAGTTGTACATTAGGAATGTTTCCTTTAAATTCTGTATATAAACCAAAGTATATTATTTAATATTTTTCTATATTTTTTGCACTTGTACCGTCTTGTGCAGTCTAGTTTTGTTAGTTTTCTGCATCTCCTCGTCCCTTCCAGTTCCGACAGTGAGAGTGGTTCCCAGCTCCACTGCGATCAGTTGGTGTCTCCAATAGCTTTGGCAGCCTGTACCCGCGTGGACTCCTGCTTTGCACCGTGGTTTGTCCCCTCGCTGGGCGTGTCCCTACAGTTAGCACAGCTGGAAGTTCACCTCTGCCATCACCTTGAACAGCTGGGTACAGGTAAGTATTCATCATATAAGCAGCATTAATATAAGGCCATAATTTCAGTCACTCAGGTGATTTCAATAAGTTTCAGGTATAAAACTCAAATCTGTCAATTTTCAGATTTATGTATTTGTGTAAATGCTGAGTCAGCATTCACATCGTTTTCATGCATATATTCTTACTCATTTTACAGTTGATCTACTCTGCATACTGCAAACTTCACTTCATAATACTTCTGTAGTGCTGTCATATTAGTATATGTCAAGTAGTACAGAAGAATTATGCAGAGTTGTTTAATACTTCTGTACTGTTTCACATATAACAATACTTCAACTATTTAAATATTAAAACATTCAGCTCAGAATAGTGTGCAGTGATTTTTATTTTTAGTCACTTTTATGCATTTAAATATTTATTTAATATTAAAAATATATCTCCATACAGACATTGAGATCTCTGCACCACCTTTGAGAGCATCGTTCTCTGCTTTGGCATTCTTGCTCTAGTTTTCTCTTCTTTTAATTTGCACTTTGCTCCTTTTAGCTCATAGCTACTGTTCTGTAATTTTTAGCTTTTTGCTATTTTTAATAATTTGAGATTTTTGCTGCAGTTTTGATCATTTTTGTTAATGTTTTCCTAATTTGCTCTGCTTGTTTTTGACTATCGGTGGTGAATTTTAACAGTTGACGATGCTTCAAATGGATTTAAGTACAAATCTTCTTTGTTCCTCCAGTTCCTTCTCAGAAGCTTCATCCCTTCCTGCCAGACAGGAAGATACCTCAGGAACAGGAGTTCATGGTGATTGGTGCTCGGGAGCCTCAGGTGTTCTTGCGCCAGTGGAGCTATGGACCTCGTCAGTGTCAAGAGTTCAGCTTCTCCACCCAGTTAGACTTCAAGCTGCTGGAGTACCGAAACCTGACATACCTTCAGCTTCTCCAGCCTTGTGCACTGCAGGTTGAACTGCAAGTTGTCTGTTCAAATAATTGGATGCAAAGTATTGGAAAAATTAGACGTACTCATTTAGTGTTTTATTGTGTGTTTTAGGGACAGGCCACTGTCATCAACTGCCCCCAGAAGACTTCTTTGGATATTAATGTGTTTGTGGAGCCATTGTTCCTCAGTGTTAGCCAGTATGCTATCCACACAGTGGACACTGCCCTGCTCAGCTGGCAACAGGTAACTCTAGGATTAAAACAGTTGTCCACCCAGACACACAGAATAAATTACTGTATATACAGTAGTCCCTCGTTTATCACGGGGGATCAGTACCCTGAAGACCCGCGATAAGTGGAAAAACCACAGAGTAGAAATAGTAGTGCAAGTAGTAGTTTATTTATATATATATAAACCCTTCCAACACTTGCAAATTCTAAACAATGTTTCTAAACTCTAAACGCTCTAAATGTGCACAGCATGTCATGATTTCAGCTCCCTGCGTCGTCTACTCTCTGCCACCTGCACGCACTCTTGGCCACGCCCACTTCCCCACTCTGCAGGATGAACAGCTGATCGTGCACAGAGAACAGCTGATCAGTTGCAGCAGGAAATTTATCCTGCAGTGTGAGCTGCACAATTGTACAGCAGGTGCTAAATAATTTAAAATGTATTTTAAATTAAAATTCCTTGCCGATCATGCGACTCATCCATCAATTAGGCAGTTGTGTGTCGTGTCCAATCTTATTTTGAAAAACCGCGATAGAGCGAATCCGCGAAAAACGAACCGCGAAGTAGCGAGAGACTACTGTAAACTAAAAATCAATGATGTCAGAAGTGCAAATGTAAAAATGTATAAAGGCTGCCTTTGTAACCTTTAAATGTTGGATTAGGAAGTGCATTTATGGGTGGTTCATTTATGGGTGGTTCATTTATGGGTGGTTCATTTATGGGTGGATGTTTAAAATTGATTATAAAGAGAAAAAGAAAGGGAGGGGTCAGTGAAGAGCACTGGAGTTGAGGTTTTTGTCATCCAGTGTCTTCAGTAGAAAGAGAGAGATGAAGAAATGATAAATTTTAAAAAATGAGGTTGATAATTTTCATTTATCATGCGATTAATTGATTTATTGTTTATCGCGACAGGCCTAGCGGTTGTATCATCTTGCACATTCAAATGGTGCTTCATAAAATGTAAAAGAATTAATCATATTTTCTTTTGTTTATTTTTCAACGCTTGTTAAAGATTTACACGTATGGGGGAGTGATGGTGCAGAGGTTAGAGAAGGTGGTCCTGTGATTGAAAGGTCGCCAGTTCAACTCCCCGTACCGACAACATCAAAATGTGGGTGGGAAAGGTGAAACACCCACACCTGCCTCCATTCTCATTTGCCCCACTTTAGTCCCTTGAGCAAGGCCCTTGACCTCCACCATCTGCTCCCCTACGTGTACTAGATGGCAGCTCTCTGCTCCACACAGAGGGCTGTGGTAGCTCGGTGGTCTGTGGTTGTGTCAGGAAGGACATCCGGCGTGAAAAACAATTGCCAAGTCTGTGTGAGTTAGTTTGATGTGGCGACCCTTGAAGAAGGGAGCAGCTGAAAGAAGGAATAAAAAGTTAAAGATTAACTTTGTGTTTATAAATCTGCACAGGAAATCTTAAAAAAAAAAAAAATAATAATAATAATAAAATATGTCGACTTTAAGGGCAGGATAAAAGATGGCCTTTTTCTGAGATGAAGTATCAACTAAATCTTACGCAGCTGATTCCATGAGATTGGTTCTGGTTGTCCTCCAGTGGTAATGTACTTGTTTTGTGTTTGGTGTAAATTCTAAGAGGCTAAGTGGATAATCGTACCGAAGTCCTCGTTGTTTCTCAGCCCTCAGCTCTCTGCGCTGCCTGCGGTAGCCAGGATATGTGTGAGTGAAGTGATGCCCATGAAAGCATGGTCAAACTTGAGTGGTGACACCTGCTAAGGTCCGTTGTGCGTCCCCACACACAGCTCTCCAGCTTCGTCTGTCCTAACTTGGCCCAGCTGTGCTGACTCATCCACTGGCCTCTGGAAACTCCAGGCACTCATGGTTTTACATGCGTGCACGAACTGCCAGGTGGAAATAAAATAAAAGCTCATGTTTTTCTAGAAACAGCTGTGATCTTTAACCTGTGGAAAATAAAATTAAACAAGCTGTATAAAAATACACTATCAAATGATTGTTTTGGCTAACGGTTTAGTACCTTTATTTTCACTCAGTGGCATCGCTGGAGCTTAAACGACTGTTCAGTGATTGATCATATTTTGTTACTGGAGTCATCCAAGCTCTATCCAGTCAGTGTTCCCTATTTGTGCTAGTTATTTCTGTCATAAATTAGATTTTATTGTCTGAGTGTTGTTTAAATAAAAGGTTGTATTAAAGTTTTATTCTAGTGTTTGGGTATGTTGGTATCCATGGTGGGCTTTTCTCAACATGCAAACGTTAGTAATTGCTCTCAGGCACACTTCTTTTTACTCTGATGGTTTTATTGGACTTTTTGTCAGGTTAGATAAAACTATCCCAAAAGGCAAAAAATACCCAAACATGCAACATGTATTCTTGAGTATATCTAATGTCCTGCACTGGATCTCTTTTCTGAAAAGTCACAGCCTTCTACTTTTCTTTTTCTTTTTTCTTAAATGAAGTCTTTATGCTGCAGTCTGTAGGCAGAGCTAATGACTTTCTAATTACAGGGCTCAGGTGTAGAATGGAAACAAACAGTTTGAATGATCCTTTTCTTTCCTGCCTGTTCTAATTTAACTTTATTAGGCATAAAATCAGGCTTCACCACAAGGCTTTTAGTATAAAATCTGACTGTGCGCCTTCCCATGTGGTTGTGTGCATGTGTTATTTTACACATTATAAGTTAATTTATGCTGTATTTATTTTAATATGTATTTAAATTAATATATGTGTTTAAGTTGAAATGTTGGTCTAGCAAACAAAAACACAGTCTGTTGTTCCCAAACACAACCATGTCTGGACACAAATGCTGATTTACTGGCTGACGTGCTCATGTTCAAACACAGTCCCTCATGCTGCTTCTCATATTTACACAAAAGCTCAGTAAATTAAACAATAAAACAATTAGACCAACCTAATTGTCTTGACTGGCCTAAATATCTGCAATAGCCTGCACAAGAACGTTCTATTTCCAGGTTTCTCGTAAGAAAATGAAGAAAACAGTTGTCACCAACATGTATGCCTTGTTGCAGAGGTCAAGTACAGTTCTTTTTTTTTGGCTTGTTTTAGAACAAATGAATGAACTTCTTTGAATATGTTCATTGAACATATTTTTGAGTTTTATCTAAAATAAAATATTTCATGATTGCAGTTGTTGAGGCGTAAGGTTTGGAAAATGGGTCTTTTTTGTTGCTGTTTGTTAAAACATTTTAGAAATTAACTAGTGTGCACACTCTCATTCAGAAGATGATTGGGTCGTAGTCAGAGACTGTATCAAGCTCCATCTTTCAGAAGGTCATGTGATTTCATTTTAGTGATTCTCCTGTTTCCTTGTGTCAAAGCCTGTTGTGAGGTGACCTGCAGGGTCAGCACTGAAACAAAACAGAATTGTCAAATACAATACTTACATCCCAGGCACAGTCATAACAGACCGCCTCAACCAGAAGACATGTAGCACTCCCTGATGGATTGAAATTCATCACAATAAAACACTTTTTTTTTTATTTACACCCGCAGGCATCATTTCATAGTGATGTTTAAAAGACAGCTCTTGTTTCCAGACTGATGTCAGCTTCCACCAGTTTTCAACAGTTACACGTGCCTAAATGTGCCATTAATGGTGACATGATAAACATTGACATTATGTTTGTGAAGTGTTCAGCATATCCCCAAGAAAAAAAAAAGATTAAACTTCCTTTGCTTCACCTCCTCTGCAGTGCTTCGTGGTACCTCTGATCTTCAAACAATTCCTCACTCGGTTTTTACATTATACAGATCTAACAGTAAATAGTATGAAACTAGAGAAATTGCATTTCTTGTGAAAATGCAGTGTGATTGCTTATTCCCAAAGAATTTGCTGAAAAATAGCTGAAATTAGCTAAAAAAAAAAAAAAAATAACATTTTGAAATGTAGCTGAAATGGAAGAACAAGCCTAAAGTAGCATAAGAAAGCAGAAAAAAAACATATATTTGCTGAATTAGGTATAAATAAGAAATTAGCACAAAAATGTATAAATTCACCAAAAAAAGATGGAATTAGCAAAAACAAATTGCTGAAACACAGCTGAATAGGCACAAAGAAATTTAAACTACCAGAAGGAAGTGGAAAAACTGAAATAAGCTATTTAAAAAAAAGTGGAATTAGCTGAAAAAGCTCAAATTAGCATCAAAAGAGCTAAATTGCAGCTGAAAGAGCAGGAAAAAAGCTGAAAGGAGCATAACAAGCTCAAATTAACGTAAAGAAGTTACTTTGGCTCAAGGTAACGAGAATTAACATGAAAAACTTGAATTTATAAGAAAACAGCTGAAATTAGCTATAAGTGCTCTAAAAGGTAGCTGAAAAGGTAGAATAAGCTAAAATTAGCAGAAGAAAGCAGAAAGAACATGTTTGCCTAACTAAACTCAGAGATAGAAATGAACAAAAAAGTGGAAATTATCTGAAAAAGCTGAAATTAGCCACAACAAAAAACTGCTGAAAAGTAGCTTAAAAAAGCAGAAATAAGCTTAAATTACCAGAAGGAAGTGGAGAGAGCACTTATTCCTGAATTAATCTGAAAAAAGTTGAAATGAGTGTCAAAAATGTGGAATTAGTTGAAAAAGGTAAAATTAGTATAAAAACTGCTAAATAGTAGCTGAAATGACGGCAAAAGTTGAAATGCATAAATAAGCTGAAATTAGCAGAAAGAAGTTAAAAGTGCAAAAATGTTGTAGTTAGCAGAAATAATCTGAAAGGAGCAGAGACCAGCTGGAAAAAACAGCTGGAAGTAACTGGATAAGTAACTGGATAGTTTAAATTTGCACAAGGAAGCTGAAAGAAGCTGAAGCAGAACAAACTGAATGAGGATGTGAAATGAGCTTGATTCATTTTCTGTAACTGGGACCACACAATTTTGTTCCACCACATGTAGCACATATGATGAGAATGACAATAAAGAGACCTTGATCTTCTATGGGGGGGGGGGGGGGGGGGTGTCAGAAAAGGCTAAATATTTCAAAAAGCTAAAGTTGCACCAATACCAAAAGTCATAACTGGATTGTCCAGAAAGAGCTGAACGTTTTGATTTATGATTTGTTGAAATAGCACAAAAAGTTTGGAACGAGAAAGATGCTGAAAAATTTTAGAAAAATGGACCACAATAGTTTAAATGCTTCATAAACATTCACACTTAAGCATGTTCCCTCTTTGAGATCCTCTGATCGAAGAAGAGTCAAAATGAATACAGATAAGGTCAGACCTTTTTATATAATTAGCCTGTTCTTTTTGCACACAACAGCCTGTTGTGGCCCAAAGCTCTGCACCACACAAGTCCAACCTCAGGCTCCGTGCCTCCTTTTTAAACTTTCTGTGCTTGGTGTCATCATCTGTCGCAGCCCCTAACCTGGGGGAAGTGGCTTTTGGTGGAAAGCCACACAAAAGCCCAGTAGTATTTACACATTGTGCTTTCTCACAATGCAACAAAGGCAACAGCGTTCTGATGTCTTTGCTTTGTTTTTCGCATCATTGAATAACTCTGCTTTCCTTTGCAACAGAAGAGAAATGCATACAAAGGTTCTGGTTGTAGCAGATGTTTGGAAGATTGTAGTGAGGTCTAAATAGTGTTGCAATGCATCTGTTTTATTGTAACCTCCAAAGTGTCTTATTTTATGTGTATTTTTTTTTTTACTTGGTGTCATTCTTTACGATCTGTTTTCCAGACATTTTACCGTACATTTATAAGTGGGGCCGTGCAGATCCGGGTTAGTTTGTGAGGACTTCAGTAATTGTATCTGACTGGATTAGGGAAATGGTGCCTACTTAAGTCACCGTCTGAAGAAGTTGTCCTCTTTAACAAGATTTATGAGTTAATTGTTTGAATTTCTCTGTACTAGTATTTGCCTTTTTAAACTCCCAAGATACACATGAATTCTAATAATTATAGGAGGAAGTTTTTTCTGCCGTGTATCACATTGCCCTATGAATCAGAGGAGAAAGATGATCCCGTCAAAGACCAGGCTCAGCAGTGCCGTCTTACGATGGCAACTGGAAGTTTGTAAATTGCAGTGTCACGTTCGAAAGGGAGCATAGATAGTGTTTCACAATAAAACTGAAAATGAATTTTAACTCTCTGCTGCACCTGTCCCATCCATGCTTTGACCTCCACCTCCTCATATACTTGAGTCTATTATCAAATGTTCTTTTAATGGTATAAACTTTCCCATCCGTTTCCAATCACGGCAACATCCCCAGGACCTTGAACGTGCTTGGCAGTCAGAGTTTAAGATTTTACTGCCAGCTTCTTTTAACAATCACAACCCCTGCCAGTTAGAAGTATATTGCAGGCTGAGGTCCTTCTTTGTTGGCATAGCTGAGAAGTTATAGAGAAGATGACTCGGAGATGTTTGTTTCTTTACAGAGTCGAGCACGGTTGTGTGGACTAAGTTTGATCAGGGTCAGACATTTTGTGGAAAGAGCTCATATTAAACTTGCACCAGTGTTAACTCTGTCCAACAGGCATACATAATGCGAGCTGTTTTGAATTTATGTTTTTGAATTCTTTGATGCTGGAGGTTCGACACACTCATCCAGTCAAACCTGTATATTTCATAGCGAGCCACTTGTTTCAATGAGGTTTTCATTGAAACAAAGTCCTAACAGAGCTGAGTCCTACTATATTACCTTCTTACATGTTCTATAGATGTCGAACAGGAATGTGTGTACAATAGTGCCTCATTTTCTTGCAGATGGTGCAAACTAAAAAGCTATCATTATAGAGTAGTCCCTCGCTACTTCGCGGTTCGTTTATTGCGGATTCGCTCTGTCGCAGTTTTTCTAAATAAGATTGGACGTAACACACAATTGTCTGATCGATGGATGAGCCGCACGATCGGCATTGAATTTTTATTTAAAGTAAATTATTTTAAATTATTTAGCACCTGCTGCACCTTTGTGCAACCCGTACTGCAAGATAAACTTCCTGCTCCAGTTAAACAGCTCATCAGATGTTCAGCATGCAGAGTGGAGAAGTGGGCGTGGCCAAGAGCACTTGCAGGTGGCAAAGAGTAGAGGAGGCAGGGAGCTGAAATCATGACATTCTGTGCTCTTTTAGAGCGTTTAGAGTTTAGAAACATTGTTGAGAATATTTCAAGAGTGTGGGAAGGGTTTAAAATGCCTTAATATATCTATGTAAATAATACAATAAGCTACTACTTACTACTATTCCTACTTCACAGTTTTTCCTTTATCACGGGTCCTCGGGGTACGGATCCCCCGTGATAAACAAGGGACTACTTTATATGACCTTTTACCCTGATGAAATCATGTTTCCACAGTTACCGTAGTTATTTTGCTTGATAGAGCAAACAGGACAGGTCATTGACACCTGAACATGTGAAGACATTGTGTCAGATATGTGCTCCATATTAAACACCTGACGTTCAGGTTTTTCTTGTGATTTTAATCCTAAACACATTCTTTCTGTCGGCCATGTTCCCTGTTTTCCTCCGTTGTCCATACATGCACTCACACATACCTCTTCCCATATACACACACACACACACACACACACACACACACACACACATACACACACACACATACATATATATAATGTATTTATTTATTTATTTATTTTTCCAGAACAAGAATCCAGAAGCAGAGGAGCTGCTCTACAGCCACTATGTGATTTGTAATGACACAAATGAGATTCTGCGCTTTGGCCAAGTGGACACAGATGAGAATGTGCTGCTGGCTAGCCTCCACAGCCACCAATACAGCTGGAGATCCCACAAGTCAGCTCAGGTAGTACACACATACACATGCACATACATGTGCATGTGTATCCCAGAGGCTGAGCTTTCAGTTAGTCTTTTTGGTTGGTTTTCACACAAACGCACATCAAGTTGTTCAAGTGAACTTTGTCATGTCCATCACATGTGGTACATATGAATGCTCTCACATTGTTTCAGGACATCCATCAGTCCATCCATCCATTAATCCAACTATCCGTCCATTATCTTTACCCACTTCTTCTTTTTCGGGTCACGGAGGTCAATGGTGCCCATACACTCTTACATAGTATACTTTAAAAGTACTTTTAATGCTTTATTTATATTTTGCTAGGTATAAAAATATTTGGATGCTGATAAAGTTTCCAAAATTTGTGCAAACAAATTACCAAAGTCATACAGTGGAATCAATGTAAACCAAATTGCATTGAAATCAATACATTGAAAATAAATTTGAATTATATTTGTTGCATAATTTCCCGTAAACCAAATCAAAGTGCATCAAAAGCTGTTTTTACGGGGTTTAAGCAAAAATGTTTTGTGAAACATTTAGAAAAGTTAATCATATCTGTTTATTTTTAAATAAGTGTTTAGCTGAACAGCTTGAAAAAAAAATCTATATACTTTTTTTTTTTTTAATCTAGCTGTATAACATTAACATAGACCAAGTACATAGAAATACAGTGAACCAGTATAAACCTGAAGACAGACACTTCACATGCGCATGTGTTCTTGGATACACATCCTCTGCATGTGCTGGATGGCTTTCTCACAGAAATCCATTCACATTGAGAGGAACATTCAAATGCAGTCCTCCGAGACACGCACACCTTCATCAATGCGCAGCAGCTATCGGTGTGTTCCTGTCAGCGTTCTCAGACAGTTCCCTGACAGCATTGTTAAAGATGATTGATTATATTTAACCCTTTGTGGTTTCGAGGTTGAGTGGAGGGTGGGCTGGTGATCTGTGGCATGTGTGTGTGTGTGTTTGGTGCGCACATGTTCCAGGACCCCCATGCGTCCCACATGAGTGTGAGAAAGTCGAGCTTGAGAAAAGACATGGCCATAATTGCTCGCAGTAAGTCAGTAAGTCAAGTTGTATTAATCATCGACCATGGTTAATCTGTGCTCTTACCTCACTCTCGCTCACACACTCGATGAGTGGCAATCTGGCATATCGGCCCAATGAAAACCACATCTCATTTTAGGAGTGAGTCAAAATGACCTCTGTGTTTTCAGGGATATTTTGGATGAAAGATGTTCTTAGTGAGCCAAATGTCATCATAGATGAAGAATGCGATTCCAAGGTGGTTTTGTCATGTATTATTCCATCATGTGTTTGTGCAAAATGAAATATATGTTCTTAAAATGAACTTAATTTGCGAAACTAAATAAAACCAAATAAAATAGGACAGTGTTGCCAAAACTACTTAAGGTTGGCGATAAAAAGCCTGCCAAAGTGTCCACCTCAACAAATTTTAGCAAATACTCTTAATTACATTGTGGGGTTATAAAAATACTGACACTGATAAGAGAGGGGGTTGTATTTCTTTCATGGTTACATGGCCCTGCAACTTTGTTTTTCTAGCTCTTAAAGTCAGTTTCTTGGCAGAGTCGTGAGTGTTTGAGCTGTTTGCTCAAGTCCCATGATGCTGTGGACTGTTCAAAACAACTCTGATTATCGTGTAACTTTATTTGTCTGCATTTAACACTCTGCCTTGTGAGCTCTCCTCTTCCTTTATGTGAAGCTGCTCTGCACTTTACCTAAAGAGTGTTGTCATTTGTATTTTAAACTTCTCATTTTTGTCACAAGACTTCATTGTTTTTAGAGCTGTAATTTCTAACCCGGAGCCCAGCCCGGCTTGGCCCTAATCCGGGTCAGGCCATAATAATGTGCTTATAAAGTGCAGGCCGGTCCGGTGTCGGGCTTTTCATTGCGTCAGCGGACGCACGTGGCTGACAGTCCAATTATATGGCAATATGGCTTGCCATACAATCACCAGCTGCACGCGGCCATTTGACCGCGCGCTGACCAGCCTCGAAAGAGATAAAAAGTTCAGTTAGGCTTCAGATGGGACAGAAATAAATGACCAGCATGAACAAAGCCAAATGATATGACATGGATGTTCATTCAGCCGCTGCACTCAGTGGACACACGGGGCTGACAACCCAAACAGGTGAGATCCCAAAATATCCGACATGTCAGAGCAGGGTCCGTGTCTGAATTATGCAGAATGCAGGAAGAAGCAGGGATTTAATGCACTTTGATGGCCATGAAAGGACAAACACCCTCAGCTCCGATCTTCTGCCCCCTTAGCTGTGTGCATCTGCCGACCATTAATAACTATATAAGCAGTCAAAGCAAAAATGTCGGGGGTTGTTTGGGGGGAACGGGTTCGGACCTGTAATTACTGTTAATTCGTCGGGTCGGGTGGGGTTCAGAAATGATGGCTATGGGCTGGGGCCGGGTCTGATTTTTTTGGGGCCTAATTGTTGTTTTATACAGTCTACCTATTTTATACCAAAACTCAGGAGCTTGTAGTCCAATAGACTTGATGTAAACAAGATCTTAAATATGTCAGATCTGCAGGCAGCCCCAGTTACTGCACTTTGTTCTCTAAATGATGGGAATGTTCATGCGACAACAGCTCTCTTTTCTATCTTACATTAGTCCAGTCAGCAGACCTGAGTTCTCAGCCACATTCAAGTTGTCAGATTAAAACTACAGCCAAGTCATGACCTGTCCACTTCTTCTCACACTCCTATCCCCTTCCCATCCCCTGTTCTTGTAACCTTTCACCAGTAAACATGTTTCTTTCAGGGACCCACAGTGCAGTTACCTCATTGAAACTCATATTTTGTTTCTAGTCATGCACTGCAGGGACCAAAAAGATAAAGTTTGAAACCCATTTCAAGCTTCACACCCCAAAACATAGAGGAGCAACATATCTGTGCAATGAGGTCAGCTTAGTCCAGTTATCTTTGGTTTTGCTCGGTGAGATCAGTAGAGCGGCGTTGGCTTTTTCTCTAAATAGCCTGTTGCAAAGCCATGCACTCTTGTTTTTTTTACTCATCTTTCTAAAGAAATAAATTAAATAAATGATCTTGCTCAATAAAAATCACCATGTGTCACTCATCCAAGACAAGCCAGTGAAAACAAAAGGGTGTAAAGCAGCAATTTAAATAATCAGATGTCTGAGCAGCTTAGACCACAGATCATTTTAAATTGCACAGATCCACAGATTTGGGTCCACCCCTGACAATCTGTCATCTCTGTTTTTCAGGATGGTCTGGAAATGTTAAAACGTAACTGATTTGTGGACCTCACCATACTGGCTAGGTTGTGAAGGTTCAGATAGACAGACAAGGTGGTGCCATTAAGACATATACGTACATGTACATTAAGACACTAAAAACAGGAAGTCAACTCGTAAACTACATTCTAATCCTGGATGTTCTTGTTTGTTTGCTGGTGATGACTACCAGTTCTGTCCTGCATTATGTTGGATTATTGCTTTGAGGCAACATTGTGTTTTTGATCTACATCAGTACTCATCAATGCTGTTCTCACTAAGTCTGTGTAGGTTTATTATCAGTTCAATTCACTTTATTTATATAACGCCAAGTCCAGTGGTTAATTTGAGCCAGATCCTGCCGAAACGAGATCTGGGAACTCTCTCATTTTGACCGCTTAAATAATAATAATAATAATAATAATGTCATCACAATGTCAGCACTGTATGTTTCCATACAATGGCGAAATTAGTCTCTGCATTTAACCCATCCACCACCAGGTGGTGCATTGGGCAGCTATTGAAAGCGCCCGGGGGACATTTTGGGGATTAGACGTGCTGCCCAGAGACGCCACGTGATGTGCAGTGACTGGGGATCGAACCTGGGACTCTCGGGTCCCAGGCCGGCTGCCCTGCCTCTACACCATCTCGGCCCCATAAATCCGGCAACTCTTTCATCAGATCCGCCAACTCCGCCCCTAAAAGTCCAAAGTCATTGTGCATTTTTATTTTGATTATTTATTAAAAAATACAACAAGAGAAGATGTCGCCCTTAGCCCGGCGGACTCGGTCTGTGGAGTGGATGTTCCAGCCGCAGCATGCGCGGTGCACCAGCTCCTTCAAGGAGGAGGAGAGCCTATAGGTTGGGGGGGGGGGGGGGGGGGGACAGATGGACAGATGGTCACATTTACGCACTGAGGTTCTGTGCGGAGTCTTTCTCTCCTCCTCATATTCATCCAAATATTGTCCCTACAGTGGCGCTGCGCACTGAAGAGCACCCCCTCTCCTCTCAGACCCCCGAAACAGAAACCATCATTTATTCAACAGAATAAATAAATGCCCTGCGACAGTGCACGTTACGCACAGAAACGTCTCCAGACAGCTCTACAGAGCGCACAACATCAGCAGGTGTCTGAACTCCTGCTACATTTCAGATATAATAAATAAAAAAGCTTACTGTAAAAAATAAATAAAAAATACAAAGCTAAAAATGTTTGGTGTGATGTTCACATTATACGTCACGTTTCTCACGTTTCAAAACAACAGCGCTGATTTGTCAAAAATAACAGCAGCGATCAAAACGTCAAAAAGACGGTCCATTTTACTTTAATTAAAAAAAGGATGGATGGATTGTCCGACAACCGAGAATTGAAGCCTTCAGGTGCTTCAAACGGTGCCACGAGACTGGAGCAGGAGGACAGAAGAGTTCAGCTCAGAACTGTGAAGTGAGGGGAGGGAGGAGGGGGGTTTAGGACACCTGATAGAAGTGGAGCTGCTCTATTCACACACAACCTGCTGTTCCTCTCCAAAATAGTAATTTTATCAAGTGTCTACAAATGTAAGTAAATGTTGATGTATAACAACCTGTTACATACACCAGAATGCAGGAAATGGCATCTCTGTTATTCAAAATTTTCTGTGAAAAGATCCACGGAACAGTAAGATCTGTAATATAAGATGGAGCTAGGTTGTTGAGAGCTTTGTAGGTTAGAAGTAATAT